CGTATGGGAGAAAGAGGCATATGGGATACGTTGGACATTACTCACGTGGCGACCATTCTTGGAAGGCAACAAAATCCCCTTCCAGGTGTGGACTGATCACAAAAATTTGGAAGCCCTGAAAACGCCCAGGAAACTCAATCCCAAACAAACCCGCTGGTCCCAGCATTTTCCAATTTAAGCTCAAACATTTACCAGGGAGAAAGAACTTCCTGGGAGATGCACTATCTTGCATGCCCCAATATAACAGCGCGCGAGCCACAGACTCTAAACCAATGATGGCAGAGTCACAATTGGCAGCACCAGTAACCACTAGAACCCATGCTAAATTAAAACCACAACTGGACAGTCAAACTGGAATTGAATTCCGGAAAAGTTTGGAAACAGATGAATGGTTCCAGAAAAACAAACGTGTGCACAATGAGAGATGGGTTGCCTTGGATAGGGGAAACGTTATATATACCAACAACCCAAAGAGTCACATTCATGCAGCTTTGCCATGACACAAAATAAGCAGGGCATTTTAGATTTGTAAAAACGTTACACTTAATTAAACGGCAATTTTGGTGGCCATCCATAAAAAAGGACATAGAAAGCTACGTGGCCAGCTCCTCAAAATGTGCAACTGCAAAGAGGTTGCAAGGGAAATCACCAGGACTATTACAAACAGTGGCAAGTCCCTTAGCCCCCTGGAGAGAAATAGCCATGGACTTTATAGTGGAATTACCAGAAAGCAATGGGAATACAGTTGTCTGGACGGTCACGGACTTGTTTTCCAAACAGGTGCACTTTATCCCTTGCCAAAAGATTCCCACTGCAAAAGCCTTAGCAAAACTTTTCATCCAGCACATTTACAGATTGCATGGGGCACACCAACGCATCATCTCTGACAGGGGGGTGCAATTTACGTCTGCATTTTGGAAGGAATTTTTATCCCTCTTAGGAACCACTCAGGGACTGACATCTAGCCATCATCCACAATCAAATGGGGGCGCTGAAAAAATGAACTCCGTACTTAAGCAATATTTGAGATGTTTTCTTAGTTTCCAGCAGACTGAGTGGACGGACTTACTCCCTTTTGCAGAAGTTGCCTACAATAATGCAGTCCACTCCAGCACAGGTTACACTCCTTTTCAAATAGCCACCGGTCAAAGTTTCAACCCATGCCAGAATTAACCCCAAACGAACCAACGATCCCATCACTGAAAGAATGGATGTAAAAACTACAAAACACCTGGCCAATAGTTAGAAAAGTACTAGATGAAGCTAGGCAGGCATACAAAGCACAAGCCGATAAAAAAAGGGTTGAGCCTACACCATTCATTATAGGTGAAATGGTGTACCTATCTACGAAATACCTAAAGTCCCTACAACCCTCTAAAAATTTGGACCAAAATATATAGGGCCTTTTCCAATTAAAAGAATCATAAACCCAGTAACAGTAGAATTAGAATTACCAAAAAATCTCAGGCAAATATACCCAATTTTTCATTGCAGCTTGCTGAAAAGAGAGCATCAGTCAGCTTTATGGCCAAAAATCCCCCCCACCACCACCTCCAATCATGGTAGAGGCCGAACAACACTTTGAAATAAAGGAAATCATAGACTCTAGGAGATATCATGGCCCGACTCAGTACCTAGTTGCCTGGAAACACCTCCCTGCCTCACAAAACGAGTGGGTCCATAAACGTCATGTCAGAGCCCCGAAGCTATTAAAGAAGTTTCACACAGAGTATCCTAACAAGCCTGACTAACTTTTATACCTGTTTTGTTTTCTTTCAGGTGGATCTCTCTTATTTTTGAGGGGGCCGGATGTCAGAATCCAATTATATTTCATCTCTAGTTATCAATTATAGAAAACCCCATTTCTGCCTTCTCTGGATTCTGTCATACAATGAAGGGAAGGTGGTGAAGAAAGGGGTTTTATGACCCTCATTTCCTTCGGTACAACTTCAAAGGGATTGAATGTGGATAGCACCAAAAAGGCCTAATCATAACAAAGGGGGCTATTACCTTTCATGTAGTTTTCTCTGAAGTCTCCATCCAGCCGGCAGTAAGGAAAAAGGAGTGGGAATGTAATGCCTGAGACTCTTGCTGGAAGTAGGGGGTGATTGGGTGGGGCTACTGGGAAACCCCTTAAAACCTTGAATGGGAGAGCTTGGACCCCAAGTCCTGTCTAGAACGCCTGCAACCATTTTCTCTTAATAAAGGATTCCTGTTGGAAGAATTATTCCAAGAGTTCTGTCTTCTTAAGATGCAAAGTGGGGTGGGTCCTTACAGTTATCTTTGTTGGGGAGAATCTCAGCAGTTAAAATGAATATTCTTCCAAAGTTTCTTTTCTTGTTTCAAATTATACCTATTTTGAAAAAAGATGTTAATTTGGAGGAATGGCAGAAGGGGATTAATAAGTTTATTTGGGCAGGGAAAAAACCAAGAGTTAAGTTTAAGATTATACAAGACGTATGGGAAAGAGGAGGACTTAAGGCATCTAATTTAAAATTGTATTATGATGCGGTGGCTTTAACGCTGATTAGTGATTGGCTCAACTTAACAAATAAAAATATCCTTTCTCTTGAGGGATGGGATTTATTATATGGATGGCATGCATATTTAATTTATGACAAAAAAGTAGATCAGGTTTTTAAATCCCATATTTTTAGAAGTGCTTTGTTGAGTGCCTGGAAGAAGTATTATTATAGGTTAAATTATAAGATTCCAATTTGGGGGATTCCTGGACACGCGATAGAGGGAATATCTAGGAGTGTGAATTTGTATACGATTTCTTATAAGGAATTAATTAGTTTGGTAGGGAAGGATTTGCAACTAAAGTCTTTAACTGAGCTGAAGCAAGAAAATACAGTACACTCTTGGTTTCAGTATAATCAATTGTTAGTTAGGTGGAGTTTAGATCAAAAGGTTGGTATTACTTTAGAGCAGTGGTTCTCAATCTGTGGGTCGGGACCCCATTTGGGGTCGAACGACCATTTCACGGGGGTCGCCAAACAACGCAGTCTGCCATTTTCCCCCCCTTTTTCTTAGCTGTGCTACTCCCTTTTATTCTATTGGCTTTTGAAAGCCAGTAGAATAGACTCTCTTGAATAGAGTCTAATTCTATTGGCTTTCAAAAGCCAATAGGAATTGTCCAGGCTGTCTCTGCCCTGCTGAACCCGCCAAAAGTCCCATTCTGCAAACGGTGCTGCACCAGTTCAATAGTCCTCGACTTACGACCGGTTGGGGGTCGCGGCATTAAAAAGGTTGAGAACCACTCCTTTAGAGGATGTGCATTTGGTAAAACAGATTAAAGATCAAACTCGAGCCCATATAAAAAGAATTTATAATGTTTTAATAGAATTGGATTCTGAAATGGAGTTAGTTAAAGATTGTATGGTTAAATGGGCTCAAAATATTCAAGAGCCAATTTTATTGGATACATGGGAGACAATTTGGGTTAGAAATGTAAAATTTACCCAAGCGCAAAATTTAAGAGAAAATTTTTATAAAATGTTTTATAGATGGCATTTGGATCCCCAAAATTGTCCCGCATGTATCCTAATTTACAGCCCAAATGTTGGAGATGTGGAAGTTTAGATGCAATCTATTTTCATATTTGGTGGACTTGTAGAGATACAAAAGCTTTTTGGATTAAGATTTGGTGGAATATTCAAAAGATTTTTAAGATAAAGTTTACTCTGCAATTATTTTTGTTGGGTATTATGGTTGATTTTGATGTTAAAGAAATTAATTTGATGCTGAATCTTAGAACAGCTGCAAGATTATTGGTGGGGCAATATTGGAAGAAAAATTCTTTGCCTACTATGGAAGAATGGATACTTAAGGTGTCTAATTTAGCAGAAATGGCGAAAATCTCCTCCTGTTTGAAGGACCATTCACAAGAAAAATATATTTTGGTCTGGAGAAGATGGATTGATTATATTCAAAAGAAATATGAGACTGAAAAGTATTATCTTGCTTATGAGTAGACTTTAGATTATTATTAATAGTTTAATATGGTTGAATTTATATTATTTTTAGTGTTATGGTTTAATTATATTATTATTTTTGTTTTTAATTAGTTAACATTTGTTTTGAAAAGGAGTTAAAGTATGTTATAGATTGATTCATAGTATAGTCGGGTAATGTTTGTTAGATTATGATTGTTTATTTGTTACCCTGTAATCAGATTTGGGAAGTGGGGGAGGGGGGAAGGGGTGGGAGGGGTTTGGGTTATATTGTATTAAATTTGTAAAACTTTTAATAAAAAAAATAAGGATGGATTCCTCTTTAATTCTTTTTTTTGGCATTTAAATGACAGGAACAGGTGGAGAATTTATTAATTGAGATGTTATTTTAAGGGTGCATCATGTAGCTGTACACAGCCTTCAGCTGGCTGTCAATGGCTACAGGAAAACAGGGACTTTCTATATTCTGGATCACAAATCCTGATTCCCTTCTCCCACGCAGCCTATGCAGAGCTCCGTCAGTGAAGAACTATCGAGCTGGCTGCTGAGCTGGCAAGGAGCGAACGTTCCCTTTCAACGAAGCTGGCTCACGGATATAGGTGCAATTCACACCGTCGGGCGTGGGCGAATACCATGATGTTTCCACAGTGGCCTACAAAGCGGGTGGGGTCGATTAGGAAACAACCACAAATTCTTAAAAAAAAATAAGCCCAGTGAAAACTGGCAGCAGAGAAGAGGAAAAGGACAACTTGGCTGCCACACTAACTCGACTCCCCTTGTGCCTCACGTACGCGCGCTCCCCTCTCCTCTTTAACGACCACAGCTGCTTCTGAGGAGACAGCACCGAACTGGGGCGGGGGAGGGGAAAGATATCTGCGCCTTACCGCTCTCTGCGCGGGATTGGTTGGAGGAAGGGGAGGGGGCTTTAACTTAACGAGCGCGCGCGAAATGGGGCGTCCTCGAATACGCTGCGTGTGCCGACCGCGCCCCCTCCCTTTGCCGTGCGCGCGCTAGCTGCGTCTTCCGATCCCTCCCTCCGACCCTAGCAGGATAGGCAAGCAGGCTGGCGGTAGGGTGGGCAGGCGAGATCGGTGGTGGCGGTTTCTGGGGGATTGCGAGCGCGATCCAGGCGACCGCTGAAGCCCTACGGGTGGACAGAGGCGCTGCCTCTCTCCCCCTTAGTCGTGGGGAGGCATTAATTTCGCAGGTTCATCTTTAACACTAAGGTTGGGCGCGTCAGCCCCCCCCCCTTTCCATCATCGCCTCTTGCTGACGATCTAGGTGGGGGAGAGCGCGCGGGGCTGGAGAGGCCGATTTCGGCACCTCCCTGCTTTTTTCTTTTTCCCAATTTTGATCATTATCATCATCGGGAAACAATACTGATAGTACCGACCGAAATTTGAATAGTGCCACATTTGCGGGATTCACCGAGCCAATCTGAGAGCGTTTAAAAGCAGCTGAGTCTTTAGTTTCTGCTGAAGCGTGTCTTCTTCCCCAGCCCTTTTACGTCTCCCCACACTTATTTTATTGACACTCTTTCAAAATATTCGAGGGGAGGCGTTGCATTCCTCGCCGCATCTTCCTAAAATCCAGAATCCTGTTCAGGAGGAGGAGACGAGGAAAGAGCAACCAGGTTAGTGATGACTTGTCGAAAACCTTTCGACTAGAAATTGCCTCAGCTTCTGTGTTCAGGAAGGAAAATGTGCACACGTATGTTATTTTAGAATTCTTTGTCTAAGTACTGATGCTTAAGGGTTAGTGGTGATATGCAATCTCAGCTATATAAAAAATATTTCTTGCTAGTTTTACATTAAAACAAAGCCTCCTCTGTTGTACTTTGGATGGAAGAAAATAGCCTGCTGCATAGAAAATACTTTCTTGAAGTGTGCTACTTTAAAATACGTTTGTAATGAAATAAGTATGCTGTTGATTCATGACTTTCCCCTTCATAGTTGCAGTTCTGCTTTTTCTTTTTTTCAATTTATTTTTTTGTACAATAAGAGGATTTTGAAGGCATGTTTTTGCTAAATGATTCAAAATATTTTTATCCCATTAGAATCATATGATATATTTATGGGTAGTAAGTTTCATTTTGTCCAGTTTGAATGCTCCCTTAATGAAATCTAATTTTAGATTACATTTAACAGTTTGAACATATACACTTTGTATCATCCTTTTTCTTTCTTCAGTAAGGCCTTAAATGTAGAATGCTAATCTGAATTCTCTCTTTTTCTTGTTTTCCAGATACTGGTAATGCCAGGTACAGTCTTTGTAAGGGCCCTGTTCTGAAGAAGATCCGAACAAGGCATTTGTGTGCTTTGAATGATTACTCTTCTAAGCTTAATATTCTTTTTTCCTTTGTTTATTCTCCTTTCCATGGACGTAATTTGAGGATTAAACCTCCCAACCAAATTACTTTAGTTATCAGAACAACAGTTAGGTGTGGACCATCAGGGTACCAGGCAAAAATAATTCCCATGACACCTTTCTTTTTTGGAGATTCAATGACCAAATCATTCTTGAAGAATCAAAAGGCACTGAGAGGACTTGATTATCCTCCAAGCGGGTGGTAAAAGGGAGAGGCAAAAGAGAAAGTTCCAGAAATACCTCTTGTCAGAAAGGAGGGCAGAAGCAACAGTTCATAAGCATTGCTGTTTTTCTCACTTTTGTCTGGTAAGTTATACCATGATTATTTAATTTTTTCACCTTACCACTGTCTTATGAAATAGTGCTAGATTAAGGAAGGGAAGAAAAGGGGGAGAAGGAGTTTTCAGCATGGTCTTATACAATAATTTGGCATTAGGTTATGCAAGATGGATGTTCAAATAGCTTGTGTCCTGAATAGACATCTCAACAAAAAGAAACACTTACAGAATGCAGAGGAACTTCCTTAATATCCTAAACAAAGTAAAAGTGAAGTTGTTCTTTCTGATGTGTGGAATTATGGGAAAAAATTTAAAGGGTAATTAGCTTCATAAGTAGCTGAAAGTAATTGGCTGAATTTTCCCTTATGGACAAGTGAGCAGAAAAAGTTTTTCAAAAGATGTTACAGTTAGCTGAATGCAGGAGAAATTTCCTCTTCACCAGGCTGTGGCGTCCTTTGCAAATAAAAGAGAAGTAGAGGAGGTGTGTTAGGTAGATTGATGCAGTCAAAAAAGCATGTTTGATCCCCTGGTTTCTGTAGTTATTTCTCTAAAAGGAATGTAGCAGTTGATGACTGGCTAATGTTTATGTTGCCTTTTTGTGAAGAAATTTAATTTAAAACTTACATTGGTGCATAACATGCAAAAGGAGGCAGATTAATGCAAAATTGGAATTAATTATATTTAGTTCAACTGGATTTTCATTTTGTAAATTCTAAATATTTGTTTATATAGAACAGAGAACTACATTTTTAATAAGAGTTTTATATAGTTTGCACCAAATCTATATTGATTCTTTTCACCTATTGATTTTTAATGTTACCTTTTTTAAAAGGTAGCCTTTTAAACTAGTGTTTATGAATAACAATTATGATTTTAAACTACTATACCATAGATAATATTTGGAATTCTCTACCATAGGAAGTGACCTTTGTTATTTTTTTTCCATATGTGGTTCTCTCAGATTAAATAAAAAAAAAATATTCATCCTGTCATATGATGAAGGGATGCATCTACCAGATTATCTCACTTTTTCCCAGGGCATAAATATTTCAGTTGATTAATTTCCCAGAGAAACATACTGCAAAGAAGCAGTATGCTTAGATAGTGTTCGACTGTATCAAGATACCTTGCCTGTTGTTGTGGGAAAAATAGGAGGAGGAAAAAGTATTTAAATATTTTGCTGCCTTGAGTTATTTATAAAAAAATAAGGGGAAAATAAAAATAAACAAATGCAAATAATTATATCTATCTTATAGATAAAAGCTTTAATCATTTAACATTTAAACATGTAGTAGGCTTCTAGTTTTTATTAAATGATACTGTGCAAAAAGGATTGGATTGCAAAAAGTATTGATCACCTTAGCTTCATATTTGGATCCATGTTCCAAATTATTATTGTACTATAAACAGAATTTATGCTATATGTATGCTTGATCACATTCTTATAATCTAAAGTCTTGATTTGAGACCATCAGTCTGGATTTTAATTCCCACTTAACTATATGTAAGGAACACTGACAAATATAGGACAGAATTCCATTCTGTCATGATGGCTCATACATTGAGGACTACCTGTATAGGAATTAGCAAAATATTAACATTAATATTTGAAAGTCATTGACAGAAGCCTATTAATGTATGCTGGGAAACATGGCAAAAATAACATCTTCAATTTTATTATTTTTATTTCATATTTTAAGGTATTAAAAACTTTGTTTCGTGGATTGGCAATCTTTAAAGAGGCCCCATATAATTTTGTGCAATGTCAGGTGACTAGCACTCAAAAATAAAACATGTTTTGTTTTGCATTTTTAAAATTAAAAACTCTGAAATCTTGTTCTCTTACACAAACAGACTTTGTGAAAGTTAAGTGCCTAGATGGTGACCATCATTAATTTTTAATTTGATATTAGGTAACACTTTTTCTGTATTTGTTTTTTAAACAATGCAGCAAGCATACTAGAAATGGTAACTCCAAACACACTTTGTATGTGGCTTTGAACCTCTTACTTATATTCTCCCACACTGAAAAATATCTCGGAAGTCATAATGTCAGATTTTTAAAATAAACAACCAAATGACTTTCCACCAGCTTTTTGGTGAAAAATAAAAGAATGTATTTTTTTGGCAGGCTTAGCACATCTAGAAAAGTGAAACTGCCCCAAGCAACTCGGAAGATATTTCCAATCTAATTCTTAATGGCATTATTAATTTCCAAACTGCACACTGCAGCAGATTACTTAAAAATGCTTTTAATAAAAATTGTAGTCCCTATTTATTCAGATATTCTCCAAAACTGTTGTATAGTTCTCCTTCCCCCCCCAAAAGATAGGCTAAATCTGATTCCTGGAATTTAGCCTGTTATCATAAGCATCAAAACAAATTGATTTTAGCACAATAGATTCAAAGAAGATCTCAAAATGAAATAAAAATAATGGCAAAGTTGTGATATGGAGTACATAAGCTATTAGGTCTAGGAACATGTGAAAGAATAACAGTTGCTGGATCAGAGATGTTTGTAAAAAAGTTCAAGTGGCATAAATAGAATAGTGACAGAACAAATGGGAGCGTGCTTTGTGTATCGGTAAGCCAAGAAAAGAATGAAAGCTTTGTCACTTGTCTTTTCATTTTTTTTTTATCTTGCATGAGGAGTATGCAGGTTCTGTTACTTGTCTCCATAAATACATAGTTGATGAAAATGAAAGCTGAATTGATAACTTTAGAATTATAACAACTATTTATTCAATGTATGTGGTCATCCACTACTTTATACACATTCACACATACATATTTTTATTTAAAATATTGATTAGAATAGTAAAAGCTAACACAAATTTAAATTTAAAGAGAAAGGAATAGGAACAAAGAATAAAAATTGAAGAAAAAGTGGGAATATAATAAAGAAAAAATATATACATATACATACTGTATATATGATTTCCAATCATCATCACAAATATAAACAAATGTAGTGGCTTTCCACTTCTATCATGAGTACAAACAAATATATCTTCATCGCATATCCTATCTTTTATCCATAAAACATCAACTTTTCAGTGAAGACATCAGCCAAAAATCTATAAAGTGTTGAACAATTTTCAAAATGATTAGAAAATGAGGTTTGTGAAATTAGCATCTTTAAAAAAATCTGCCAGTGTTACAAACAAGAATGTTGATCCCTTCATTTCCCAGCACTCAGACCCACAGAAAACCACTGTCTTGTGGTTTCCTCCCATGAAGCAGCCATCTGGAAAACATACGGGTGCTGTCTCATCCTAATCCAGAAAAGTTCCAAGGAACCAGTCCACTCACCATTTTCTTGGTCTTTTTTGGTCATTTCCACTATTACAGAGCTGCTTTCGGTTTGCCATTACTGTATCTCCCTTGGAAATCGTCCATCTCAAACATATGGCTTGGGGCACTAATAAGAAATAAATACATAAAAATATAGTAAAACAATAAATAATAAAGATAGGAGCCAAGATAAAACCACACAACTCAATCAGCATAATCAAGATATGGGCTGAACCATGCACCCTAGGACCACAGATCTGCTGATATTACTTCTCCAAAAGGAATTGTTTTGGATGGGCAGAGATGTCATTCTTGAATCTCAATAATAATTTTCCTGAAAGATTCAAGTACTTTTGTTGTTCCTTATTTCTTAAATTGTTTTCAACAGGTAATCCTGTTATTATGATTTCAATGAAATAGTACCGAAAAATAAAAATACTTAAATAATAAATGGTTTCCATCATTTTATAGTTAAAACTATCTTTTCTCTGTCCTTTCATCTCAGTTCCAATTTGGGTAAGAAATAGATGGAGCATTAGCTTCTATCAAATTTTACAAGAAAATTAATTGTGATTTGGAATGGTTTATATGTAAGTGTAAGCTAAGTTTCTCACTTATATTTTTTAGATATAACTTCCAAAGGATACCTAAAGTCTGCAGAACTACTTCAAGATGTGTAGCTCTGTTGTTCCCAGGCTCTGGTTTTTAACAGATCGACGTATCCGAGAAGATTATCCTCAGCAGGAAATTCTAAGGGCACTTAAAGCCAAATGTTGTGAAGAGGATCTAGACTTCCGTGCTTTGCTGATGGATGAAGTGGTCTTGACCATTGAGCAAGGAAACCTGGGTAAGAATACTATATAGAAGATATGAATTGATGACTGTTAGAAGAATATGGAAGAGAATATTTATAGCTCAGGGTTTAAATGAGCGGTCCTGAGTGCTCTCTAAGCTTGCTTGTTTTCTTGCAGATGTTTCATTACCAAACTAGGCAATATCATCAATGTCCGAATATGAAATCTCAGTGCAAATTTGGAAATTTCAGAAATGATTGTGTTTGGTCATCCTGGCATTATCTCCTGTTCTTTTGGAAAATGAAGCAGATTAATAATTAAAAAGGTAGCCACATCATAATAGAACTCAAGGGGGATAATCGTAGCCCCCAAGGGGGAATCAATTTACAGTGCTATATAATAGAAATATGTCACCAACTCTATCGTGGCACTAAACATTTGTTCCATATTACATGGCTTATTTCTATTGTGCTGTACCATTACTATATTTCAACTGCAGTGGAAAGCTTCCTACTGCAGTCTTCCCCACTCTGGGCCCACCTGATTTTTGGACTAATTCCCAGAATTCTCAGGATTGGTTAGATTGGCTGGGAGTAGTTCAATGAAATGATTATTTTCAAATTTCATTTTTTTTTTCAAATGAAAGTTATGTCATCTTCAAAATGTTCAAATTCTAAAGAAAGTGAATTGATTTCTGAGTCAATGTCCCACAATAAATTTGCAGAGAGGTAATATATAAATGTACAAATACCCATCCCAAAAGTTGTGATTAATTTCATTTATGCAATTTGTATCCATCGTAATCAGCTGGTTGACGTATTTCACAAGAACATAATACAAATAAAACACTAACATTAAGAATAAAATAGTTTAAAATTATTATAAAAATATAATAAATGCCCACAGTAAAAGAAAATAATAAATTTCAGAAAATGTTCAAACAGCAAAAATAATAGAACAACGTTAATTGGTCTTCATTAGAAACAATACTTGTATTTATTTAATGACCTTTCAGCAACTGTTTGAAATTACAACAGTGCTGAATGATGTTACAGCTGTTGTTGCATTGTCATGGTCATGTGATAAAAAAAACGGCACTTATGACTACAGGGGTGCACCAATTCTCCATCTGTCTATCTCCTCCAGATCTAGGCTGCCCTGCATAGCAGCACTAGGCAGCCCTCTTTATCAGCCATACCATTGCTACTGCTAAAAAATGCCACTTCACTATATTTCCCAAGATGTGCATGCTTTGGTGAATGGCACAATTGCCCTCACTGCCCAGTACTCCTGAGGTTTATCTTTTGATCACCTTCATGTGTTTTTCTCATGCTGTTGAGTAGCCTGAACGACCTATCTGAGGCAGCTCTCAGAGCCACACGACACAGCCACACGTTTCCAATATGATTTTGGAAACCTCCATAAGCCCTGTATGAACAGGGCCCATTATTTAGAAACTTCTGGAAGTCCTATTGACTTCAGAAGCATCTGGGAAGCCCTGCATGACCTTAGAAGCCTCTAGAAGCCACACAAATAGATTCTTTTCTTGAGCTTTCAGAGGCTTTTGAACTCATACAGGGCTTCCAGAGGCTTCCAAAGAACAGAACCTATTCATGCAGGGCTTCCAGAGGCTTCTGAATTCATGGATCTTCTGAAGTCATGTGCAAACAAGCTCCGTTCTTCAGAAGCTTCAGGAAGTCCCACTTGACTTCAAAACTCTCCAGAAGTCCCACATAAATTTGGAAGTCCCTCACAGACGGGCTTCTGAAGGCTTCCAGTCATGCTGAGCTTCCAGAGGCTTCCAAAGTGATACATGAATAGGCTCAGAAAAGAAGGATTTGGTGTAAAGGGAACTGTCTTGGATGGGCCATGTGTGCTTCTCAACAGCATGAGAAAAATGCATGAAGGTAAGCAGAATAGGGAAGATCTTTGGGAATGCTGGGCAGCAGGGGCAATATTGCTGCTCCCCAACGCTCACACACCTTGGAGAGTGGCATTGTTGAATGGCAGTGATGACTCTAGGGCTGATATTAGAGGCTTGGAGTGGTGGCAGCTGCCTGAGACTGCTGAAGGCCCCAGGCATCTGCTTCAGGCCTGGCCTCAATGCTGCTGCTGGCTATACATCACTTCTCCAACTCCAACTCACACAGGCCTCTGACAGCTTTCACCACACCCTCAAGGTACCCCCATGCCCTGCTTAATTACCTGTATGATTGCTTAATAACTGCCACTGGGAGAGCTAGGATTATTAAGCAAAGAAATCATGTGTCTTATTTAACAATTTAAATTCTGGACTCAGTTGTGGTCATAACTCAAGGACTACCTGTAATTTTGTTTGTAATAAATTTTAGAAAGCCAGTCACATGGAGCAAGTTTGATTTCTAAAAGGCAACTGTTCATAGCAAAAGGATGACCATCGAAAACCATCTCTCATGAACCCCATTCAGTCCAGTTACAGAAAGTGGAGGAGCAATAATTGCTCCTAGGATATATCAAATGGATCAATTCTGACTGGATGAGGCAAGTGTGAAAATGCCTTTATGCCAAGATGGCTTTTTAGGACAAAGTCAGCAATTTGAGTTGCATCTGCCAGCCATATTGTACCATTGCTCTTGTTGACAAGTGGCAGTCAATAACCCAGCACTTTTTGGGGGGACTAACAGAAGCTTCTAGAAGGCATCCCATGTAGGCATCTTGTGCTAGTCCAACAGCATAAGGGCATGCATAATCATTGTTAATGCATATAAGAGACCAAACAGTAGGTCATTCTATGAAAACACACAGATTAATGTTATTTCATTGTACCTCCCCTTCTCACTGTTCTGAGGAAACCCCCTCTTCTTTGTGAGAGCCTCTGAATTACTGAAAAACAGGTATCATGTCCAATCTTTTCTCAAAAACCTCCAGTGATGGAGCACCCACAACTTCGGGAAGCAAGCTGTTCCATTGATTAATTGTTCTCATTGTCAGGTAATTTCTTCTTAGTTCCAGGTTGGCACTCTCTTTAGTGAGTTTTTACCCATTGCTTCTTGTCCTGCCCTCTGGTGCTTTGGGAAAAAAGTTGACCCTCTCTTTGACTGTCCCTCAAGTACTGGGAGACCACTATCATGTCACCCCTAATCCTTCTCTTTGATTGGCTCCACATATTTCCTTTAAACGTTCATAGTATTGTTTAGCCTCCAGACTGCTTATCTTCTTTGTTGCTCTTCATACTCTTTTTTGTGTCATGGAAATAGAATTGAATGTGGGTTAGACAGCATCACCACCAGATGAATTTGTAGCTGGCTGACCGGCCGTACTCAGCGTGTAGTCTTCAATGGAACCGCATCTACATGGAGGGAAGTGTGTAGTGGGGTGGGGGTTCTGTTCTGGGCCCAGTGCTCTTCAACATCTTCATCAACAATTTGGACAAGGGGATAGATGGGAAACTCATTGTCAGAATCCAATTATATTTCATCTCTAGTTATCAATTATAAAAAACCCCATATCTGCCTTCTCTGGATTTTGCCATACGATGAAGGGGAGGGGGTGAACAAAGGGGCTTTATGGCCCTCACTTCCTTCGGTACACTTCAAAGGAACTGATTGTGTGTATTGCCAAAAGAGCTAACCATAAGAATGGAGCTGTTACCTTTCATGTAGTTTTCTTTGAAGTCTCCATCCAGCCGGCAGAAAGGAAAAGGGGGTGGGATTGTAATGCCTGAAACTGTCGCTGGAAGAGGGGGGTGATTGGGTGGGACTACTGGGGAACCCCTTAAAACCTTGAATGGGAGAACTTGGACCCCAAGTCCTGTCTAGAATGCCTGCAACCATTTTCTCTTAATAAAGGATGCCCGTTGGAAGAATTATTCCAAGAGTTCTGTCTTCTTAAGATGCAAAGTGGGGTGGGTCCTTACATTAGACAGGACTTACAAAATTAATCCACCTGGAAGGGAGACCCTTGCTGGGGGATTTTGCAAAAAATTACCATGTCACACAATGGAGCAAGAAAGGGGGAAAACTCCCCGGAAGGAGAGCCACTGCCCCAACTGGAACCTTGCCAGATGTTGGGATCCGAGAGGTCAGATTCCTCAGGAGAAGAAGTGGTGGAGACACGGGACCACAAGCCTCACTGGTCAATGGGCGTTGGAAAGAAAAGTGAGTGGGGAAAGGAATCAAGAAAGGTGACCCGGAGACGGGGGGCCAAGCAACCAGAATGGAAGCAGGAGATGGAGAAATCCCTGCACGCAAGTGAAAAGGGGGAAAGCTGGGCACCGTACTCAGACCGGATCCTAGAGAAAGCTATTGACCTGATGAAGAGAACTCTCAGCTCCCTAGGAGAGGAGAATCCTGAGCCCTACGGCCGCCTCAGCTCCTGGAGCCGCAAAGGGAGAAACACAGAGGGGGAATTGGAACCTGCAACCCTGGGGGCATCTGATGATCCAGTAGTCCGCACCCCCTACTGAACCACAGATGGCGATCTGGACGGAAGACACTACCACCAACAACGGAGGCACCGATGCATTCCAAGACGTCCGCCGTTGGAGGTGAAATTCAAAGGGGAGCCAACACGCTTGGGGTTTTTCCTAACCCAAGTCCTCAGCTACATGGAGGAATACGGGCAGGACATCCCCAGCAACAAAGCCCGCATCCGGATCGTGCAATCTGCCCTGGATGGACCGGCTGCAGATTGCGTGGTGAACTTACATGACTCCAATGCCTCAGAACTCAGCAACTTCAACCATTTCATGTCCTCTCTGAGAAGATGATTTGAAGACCCCCTGGCTGATCGCAAAGCCCGCGAAAGGATAAAAACGATGAGGCAAGGCAAACGCCCTGTGGCTGAATATACACAAGAATTCCGGGCCATTGCCAGCAAACTGAACTGGCCAGAAGACATCCTCCTTAGCCATTTCAAAGACGGACTAAATTATGACCTATATGATGCTTGCCTGCCCCGAGGGGACCCACACCAACTTGAGGAATGGTACATCTTGGCAGAGGAAGCAGAGATCAACTTATTGAAGAGACACCGCCAAGGAAAACAATGGAGCCACTCCCCGCCTGAGTTGACA